CTTGTCTGGCGCTGAGCTGGCAAAGCAAGTCTGTAATACAGGGGGCTTAACAATTACCTATACTAGTTTGGGGCTTCCTCTAAAGGGTTTCCTTGAGGGGGTCTAAAAGGGATCTACAGTAGAGTTCTATGGTATAGGGATAGGGGCTTTAACGATTACCTAGAAAATTTGGGTGTTCCTTGTTGTAGTTTTAGTATAATTGGCCCCAAAACCTTATACTAATTATTAAGGCCCCTATCTTAGGTTCTGGAGAAGCCGGAGGTACAACAGCATCGACGTCTCCTCTCGCGGAGCGAGACATTTATGTTCCAAAGCCTCTAAACGGCGATCCAATTTTTGCAAAATCCTGCAAACACCCAAATGCTGAACCACTCTGTGGCGGATTCCTTGCGGCCTGCAGCAGAAGAATGAAATAGCCTGCTGCCCAACTAGCTGTTGTGGTGCTGTTTAGGATATCTGCAAGACATACCCCAAACCCGGTTCGAATTATCAAGACCCCTACATTACAGATCCTTTGTAAAGCCTTTTTAGTAACCCGTTAAGGCTTTGGCATGGGAGTCAGCTTCATAGTTTATGGTGTTGCGCTGGGCTCAGGGCTTAGCAACTAGGCGAGGGTTTAGGGCAGTTTGCGTTTTTGGTTTTCGGCTTAGGCAACTGGGTGTGCAAGCGAGTCAATCAACATGGCTGTCCATGATAGGGAAATACTGTAAACAACTGGCTCTGCCGCATTTGGGCGACTTCCATTAGGATCTTTGACAGGAGCCTTGCATACGGGAGGTTCCCTACCATTTAAGGTACCCGTGTGTGGGAGTGGGGGACTTCTGTGGGGACCTGATATGTCTGCGAAAGTCTCCGTACAGAGGAAGAGCCAGCCACTCAGAGGGCTTAGGTTTCTTTGTCATAGTTGGGTAACATCTTACATGTTTATGGGTACTTAAACCCAATAAGGACCAAGAATGCAAATTTTTATTCCTATCCCAACCATGAACAAGGCAGACCCTAAGCCTCCAAATCCAAACCTTGAGGGCTTATTGTCCTGGGCTTACATCTTAAGTCTGAAGCCGGGCGGGCAGCTTGTCAGGAGTGCTAAAATACGCAACAACCAAACCCCTCTTCAGGAATTAGGGTTTTTGGTTTAGGTTTGGGGTTTATAAGGGTTTATAAGGGTTTATAAGGCTTATGAATACGTAGCTCAGTTCAAGCCGAATCTCTCCACCCTGATCTCAACCAAGGCGTTTACCCTGTGGCTCAACGTGCGCTGGTCCTTGTCTGGATCCCTTGGCTTTGGACATCTCGACAGGAGGATCCCTGGTCAGATCCCTAAGGGTCTATGTACCCAAAGAGTATATACTTTGGCCCCAAGGTATCTTTCTAGGGACTACTTTAAGGCCAATGTGTATACTATTTGGGGACATGGACCCTTAGGGGATTTGTTTTGTCTTTGTTGTTTCGGGTGTAGGGCTTTTGGGTCTGGTGACAAGGGGCTTAGGGTCCACGAGTCCTCGATGGGTTCCAGTTCTATAGTATATGCAGCCATTTATAGTCCTGATGAAAGTATCCAGAATCGACCACCCCAAAACATGCCCAAACCCTTTCCTAGGTATTAAGGCACATATATCATCCTACCTCAAAGACACCCAGCCCGTCGCAGGAGCACCCTCTGATTTTGTGGTTTCGTCCGAGGATGGGTGGTAAGCTAGTTATCGATTCGGGATAGTTTGCGTTCCCTTGTTGTTTAACATAGAGCCCTGTAGTTATAAATGATTTTGGGGATTGTTGAAATCGACACCTAGTAAGGGGAAGAGCAGGAGCACTGCACGAGCTGTGGGAAAGGGGCAAGAAAGTTTTGTTTTCAGAGACATCCCACGAAACCACGGTGTCGGTCTTCTCGATGGTATCTCGCTTACAGACCATCTGAGCGACTTCATGAATCGCAAGAAATCAGGAAGTTGTACAGATGGCGAAGAGGAAAAGTGCAAGATTTAGAAGAAGAATGTCCCGGGCATCGAGAGAAAACATGCTCGGCTGAGAAGTTGTGCTGATCCTAGCGCTCTTGGCGCCAGTCGGGTTGATGGTATCCAATGGTACGCGCTGACCGGTCTGGCGCATAGTAATGCGAGTGCAGGATTGATCCTTCTCGATGAGCCGCACGAAGGACTCGACACGGTTCCTTAAACCCTAAACCCCTAAACCCTACACCCTAAACCCTATAAGCTCTAAACCCTAAACCCTAAATTCTAAACAGCCTTAAATAGCATCGCCTTGCAGATGGTCGCGCAGCAACGTCCGACCTGTCTCATGACGACCCAGACCCGAATAAAGACTTTCAGAGCGCCTTCTGACAACCTTTATAGACTCGTTTAAACTTAAACGCCCCTGTAAGGGAACCCTATTAAGGTCAGGCCTGCGTCTTGCACTCTATTGCAGAGACCGGGGCGAGAGGTTTAGGGACTCTGGGGTTTAAAGCTCAGTATTTGGGGGTTTGGATTTACGGGTGGCGCGCAGTAGGGCTAAGGCTATAAGTAGCTGGGTCTTCTGTCTTGATACTGCTGATGGACAAAATCCTGCATTACCCATTATAAGGAACGTACCATAATTCCCATAGTTAACAGTCCTTAGGGTCATGCAAGATTTTGTCCATCAGCAGTATCAGACTTCGGTTATGCCACGTTGCGTTCATTCCATGTCTATCAACTGCAAGACCTCTCTGCTCGTCCTTTGCCTCGACCCCAGACCCCAACTCCTTACGTTCAAAGAGGGTTGTGACGCTGAGAGCTGGACAATATCCCCTCAAAAAAACAAACCCTAAACCATAAGGCTTTTGACCACGAAAACCTGAACCTTTGGGTCCTTCGCCTGAGCCCTAAGCCGTTCCAGAACAATGAGCCCCCTAAAGCAGAAGCCCTTTTGGCCCATATCAAGCCTGTACAGCACGAATCTCCTCACACTCGGGAAGCACGAACGCAGAACGAGAACATCGAACTACACGAGCGTTATGACACCGCTATGAGGCATGAAGCTCGCGTAGGAAGCCTTTCTACCTTCTGAGAGACACCAGACCTGGCCCCATTTTCGTCCTGCCTGGGTGGCCGACCTCACGGCCCGCCACTTGGTCTCTAACCTCGAGTGCTGCGCTCAGATCGAATCGAGTCCTCATCGGCCCAGGCTCGATCCTTGCGCGCAGCAGCCTCTGCCTGGGTGGCCGACCTCACGGCCTCCCACTCGGTCTCCAACTTTCCAGTGTTGCGTTCAGATCGAATCGATACCGACTCAACTGACTCGGTGAGGCCATGGCGAGTTTGCCGGGCATGATTCATTCCACGGCCACGGTCCTGCCGCAACAGCCACTACAGCAACTTCACGCGGCACAGCTTCCCGCAAGCGTTGCTGAATCCTGGCGTTTGTCAGTTGAGCAGTCTTGTCATTGTACCCGCGTCGTCCCGTCGCTCCGACGACGCTTCGCCGCTTCGCTGCCAGACGCGCATCTGAGGACAACACAGGAACGCTCTGGATCGCGGTAACGGCTCCTTGGCTTCACTAATCATGTCCTCACGTTTCTCTTGCTCCAGCGTGTTGTCGCGGTCGTCAGAGGGCTTGTCGTCGAGTCTCCCCGTTTTCCGAGGCAACGGCTCCGACGCAAGGCAACATCATATCTTTCACAGCGTGCCTCGTACGGACACTGGTGTAACAACGCTTTGGCAGTGTCCTTGCCGGAATCCAAGGTCTACCGCCGCGGAGAGAACGGCTCTCGGAGGCGGCTGAAGTCTTGCGGATGTCAGGGCCTCAGAGCGGCTCAAGAGGGAGGGATGCACGCAACGGCATGGACTCGCACTGCTAGGCTGTACATGTTTCCGGGTACAGAAAGAGTTTTCATGAATTCTCGATGTAAGGTGCCGTCCCGAGCTGCCGAAGCGATCTCGACGGCGTTCAAGACAAAAAATGCCTCCACAGTGCCGATCCTTGCTCTATGATGATCTGCTGACCTCGGTTGTTATCATGATGAATAAACCTGTACGCGCATCTGCAGTATACGCATAGCTATGAGTGCTATCATCCTGCACTGGCATGCAGTGAGAGTCCGCCTGCATTTCCGGTCTTGTAGGCTGTTGGCTCCAAGTCCGGCATTGCGGTTCGTCCTTTGCGTGAACTTCCTTGACCCCTTCCAAGTTTGCGACTGAGATACGCAAGTCGCTGTATTTCAGTGCGAATCCTCATCGGCCCAGGCTCGACCCTTGGGCGCAGCAGCCATCATCGAGACAAGCCCCTTACTCCATCCCCCTCCGACCGTGCCTGACGAGATACATCCGCTAAGGTGGGTTCAGTGTGGTGGTCCACAGCGAGTTCGGACCACCAGTCGTGCTGCTGTTGCAGGAGAGAGCCACGGTAGACGACCGGAAGGCAGGGCAAACTCGACGCTGTGGATCTGAAGTATGAAGCTCTCCCGAGCAACCAATTCGAGCGTGCAGGTTGCGTGGTCCAACACTACCTGGTTGGCGTGGCCCGCGGAGTGCTTCTGCGTAATCGGTCGCCTTCGAGTCGGGAAGGAGCGTGCATGTCTTGCACGCAACAGACAGACTTCTTGTTCTTTGTTGCCTATGGCGTCAGGACCAGCACCTCCTACCACTTCTCTTCTACCAGAAGACGTGTGTAGTTCATGTGTTTCACAACCGCCGACTAGGACCGGGCTTCACCCCGTCGCGGTTGTGAGGAACAAAAATTGAAGACTTCGGAAGTGAGCAAATCAGCCTAGGGAGCCTCCTGTGTGGATATCCTCTGCATGTCGCATGCCCTCGACGGTGGCTCATCCGCTTTCACGCTAGTGTCGACCTTCGTCCGGTTAACATGTCGGCTCGCAGTCCGGCAGCTGCAACTCGTTCCTTTCGCGAACTCGCTTTGCCCTTCCCCAAGTCTGGGCTCTCAAAGCGCTGCTCCGCAGGCGGCGATGCTCTGGCCTCAACACATGTCAACGAGCATCAAGCCGCAAGGACGCCTGGCGCGCGATGTCAAGCTGGACCAGGTCTTCGTCACCGACTTCAAGTTGGAACTTTTATGACTCTGCTCGAGGATACGAGTGGCAGAACTCTCAGGGCGAAAATGCGATCTGGTGGTACTTGGCGGATGACGCCTGGGCGTGGGAGACGCAGCTTTTTGAGAAGGCGCTCACTTCCAAGTTGAGACTTAACCTGAAGAAGCCTTGCAGAGGACTGATCGCTGCCAGCTGCTTGACATGAGCTTTCCGTGCAGACCGAAAGCTTCGCCTCAGCAGAAGATGTGCCAAAACAACATGACCTTTTCTCACTTATCGGAGTGTCGAGAGAACTGGCAATCAAGTGTCTACCTGGAGTTGGCAGCTGTGCAGCGGTCGTGCTCGGCTAAGCTCTCTGCGTTCCAAGCAACTTCATAGTGACCCTTAAAGAGTGCAACAGGGGGTCCCCTAAGCGTACTATACGGGTTCCTTTGCGGGCTTCTTTTAGGGGCACCTTTATCAGAACCTACTTCTAAACCCTAAGCTCTGGAGGACCGCGGTTGAGGCATCACCACTTCTGCCTGGGCCAGCGAGCCTCCTCGCGTTTCGCGCGGTGCCCTGCCTTAGATGGCCTGGGGTGGTATAGGGACCTTAGCAATGAAGGGCTTTGGGGTATTGATTGTAGGACCCTGCTGAGGAATTTTAGGACAGCGTTCCGGGGGATTTATGGTAGCAGCCCATGTTTAGTTGGTACTTACTGCAGGGCCGTTAAGGGTTCTGGTAAATGTATAGCAGGCAAATCAGGAGTTTTTCTCGGCAGCACTCAGGCTTGATCAGGTTTCCGGTTTGAGGTTTTGGGTTTTGGGGTCTAGTTCAGGTTTTATTTAAGGCTGGGTCGGGTTCAGGATTATGTAGAGTGGGGACTCAGGTACAAGGCCGTGGATTTAGGGTGCTCTAATTTTGTTAGCGGGATTGTGGATACAGTTTGGGTAGCGTTGCACTTGACATTGAGAGCTTACGGATCTTTACGGTTTAGGGGTTGAGTTTTGGGCTGCAGGGTTTGTTGCAGTCTTCCCTTCATGTGTGAAACGGCCCAACGCTTAGCCCTAAGTCCTACACCATAGCCTTCGGAACTTTCGTGTAGTGGTCAGAACAAGTGATAACCATATTCCGTGGACCTTGCCAGAGAACCCCCTACCCCTTAATTCAGGAATATACCTTAAATTATAGTGGCTTTAATACCATGAATTAAGGTATTTTCCTTAATTAAGGGGTATTGGGATCTTTGGGTTGAGCATTGATCTTCTATAAAGCTATATACCATGGTGGCCTCGGCTCCTACTCATCAGACCGCTGTCAACTGTTTCACCCTTCAATTTACTGCCAGGGGCACGTCGTTCTGACTTTTTGCCCACCCAAGCAAGAAAATAAATGCCATGGTATAAAATCGCAGCTGTTCATCCTTTCTACAACTGGTCCCTATAAAACTCTGGCACATAGAAACCCATTATTCCGGACCCCTAGCCCCTAAACCCTGAACATCGGAGCGACGTGTGTCCTCGTGAGGTGTCCGTGGTGCTGACCTGGGCACCGCTGGCTGGGGCTGTGGCGTTCTATCGGCGAAAGCGGAAGGCGCGCACATTCAGAACCCCACCTGTACTCTTCACTGTCTGGTGCTTAGTAGGGAATGGGGGAACCGATCCCTATAGTAGTCCGCATGTGATCCCCAATAATCGTCTCCATAATCCATTCCATCATTCCCGACTAAGAACCAGACAGTCCATTGTAGTTCCTTTGTTTTGTTTAGCAGTTCAACACGTTCTGGATTTAGGATGCTAAAGGGTACCCGACAGAAGGAATTACAATGGAGACTTAAGTAGACGTTACACTGCCTTAAACCACCCTGACCCATAACCCCCGAAATAAGAAGCGAACGAGCATTTTTCAAATTTCCTATACGCTAAACGCCGCGAAGCTCGCTCTCTCAACCGCCCATGGTCTGAACCCTAAACCGTCGAAAGGCAAAACGAAGTTGAAAAGCCCGGCACCTTCGCGTATAGAGTTGTTTTAGTGTACCCCACAGCCTGATCGCAATGATGAAGGTCCTGCCCAAACATCCCAATACCCCTGAATTAAGGAATATACCTTAAATCATAGTACTTTGAGGTATATTCCTTAATTAAGGGATATTGGGTTCTCTGGGTGTATGCCCCTGACTTTCCGAGCGCCCTATAAAGCCCTTGCATAGCCTCCAAGACACCGGAAGAACCTGATTTAAATTCCACTCATTCATGCCCCTGTGGTAACCCTTGTAGGACCCCTCCGGCCCAACCCTTGAACCCTAAACCACAATGCGTAAGCAGGAGGAAGGCGAACCGTTGTTCCTGCAGGGCTTTGAGGTGCTTTTGATCTTCTGCACCCTCTGGACAGGGAGTTGGTTGAAGGTTCAAGGGGTTTTGAGTTTCAGGTTTTGGGTTGTAATTATTTCTTACGACTTTCGGGGCGCAGGGGTGCAGGGGCGAGTTCAATAGTTTAGTGTTTGGGGTTAAATTCTTGGGTTGGGGCATGGGTCTCCGGCCTCTTGGACCCAGTTGATATGGCGTGACGCTTTGTTCTGAAGCTGAACTACCATGCCCAGACTTCGAAGGACACTTTGCACGCTTACTTGGAGGATCATGGGACTTAGTAAGTAAGGTTATAAGTACCTTTATTCGGGTTATAAGTAGCTATAAGTATAGTTACCCTAATAATAACCTTAGTTACCAAGTCCCATGATCCTTTAAGTACTCTGCAAGTCTACCCTGCAAAGCCCGACGCGGCGGAAGGATACATGTCCAAAAGCCGGAGTACAGGGCTAAGTCCCGGCAATGAAATATTCAGATTTCTCGCTGTAGGGCCTTGCTAGCTTTTGGTCTGGGATTGTGGTTTAGTTGTGGAACCAGTGTGGCTAGAATTAAACTCTAAATCACAAAGCCCAATATCGGGCCTGCCTCTTTTGTTTGGAGCTTGCGCGGCCTGAGCTCGGCGCAGGACATGGTGTTGGAAGGCCATGTATTTCTTGTTCGCCAGCAGTTACTTGGCAGAAACCCAGGTGCGGTGTAAATGTTGTCTCCTAGAACCATCATAGGTACTCAAGGGTAGCAGGGTTATCACTGGTTTATCGGCAGGCTAACGATAGTGATAAGCATGTGGTACCCAACCGAGAGACATGTTGATGAGCTTCTACTGTAGTCTGAGATGTTGAGTGCTCAAGACGACGTTGCCGAACGACTGCGACGAGGACGACGACCCCAGCGATACGAGATCTAGTTCTACTACGATGAAGGTTCCAGGTTCCATGAGGCGGAAGATCCTTGCCAAACTGTCTTTGTTATTGTGGTATGGTTGTATGGTCTGCTTCGCTACTCGGTCAGCGAGGGGGGGGATAGTAGGACCGTACACAAGAAGGGTAGCCTAGCACGGTAACCAGCACTTGCTCCACTAGCTTCGAACCTCAAACATTGAAACTCCTGATATAATCATATACATATATGTATATACACATGCATACATACATACAGATTGTGTGTGTGTGTGTGTGTTTGTTTGTGTATGCACATGTATATGTACATATATGTTATATGTGTATAGCTAGAAAGATAGATGTAAATCTGTATATGCATATGTGTGTACACATGAACCAGTATACATATAAATTATTTGTGTGTATGTATGTATGCATGTATGCATGCATGCATGCATGCATGCATGCATGGATGTATGTATGTATGTACGTATATCCTAGCCGCTCTGTATTTGTGTGCATCTCTCTCTCTCTCTCTCTCTCTCTCTATATATATATACACACACATATTGCATCTTCTTTTATTTGAGTTTTATGTCTCTGTACTTTTCTTTTTGTACTTGTACCTGGCGTATATATATCTGTATATATATATATATATATATATGTACTCTAGCATATGATTACATGGATACACTTCTCCTCTGATTCTCTGTCCGAGGGCTAAGTCGCATCGAGGCCTCAGTCTTGCCTACGTCAGCTTCGGCTGGGTCCCGCCGAGCTGCGTCACCGGCTGTCTGTGGATAGTTTTCGATGTGGCGTGAAGCTCAGCATTGAGCACTTTCCGGCGATTTAAGGTTCAGGGTTTTGGGGTGTTTAGGGTTTTCGAGGTTGAGGGTTTACAGTTATGGGTTTGGGTTTTGGGTTTAGGGTCTCAGCATCGACTGCTGAACCTATCAGGTTCTCCAGGGCTACGTATAGTCCCATTGTAGTTCCTTTGTTTGGGTTTAGCCAAACATATATATATATATATATATATATATATTTATTTATATAATTAGTATCCTATAAGGTAGCCCCCCCCAAAAAAAACAAAAAAGGAACTACCATGGAGACTATAGGTAGGGTTCCGAGATCTTCGGGGCCGAGCTTCGGAGACTAGAGTTTTCACTTTTCACGGCTCAGGGTGGTGCGTATTCCCACTGTTGATGATAAAATTCCTGCATTACCTTAAGGACCCTAGCCTATGGGAATTATGGTATATTCCTTATTATGGGTAATGCGGGGTTTATATCATCAGCCGTAGTAGTAAAGCATTTTGGGTGACTATACTCCGTATATAATCCCAATATCCTCCCCAAGGTTAACCTTTAGTTCCCGGGATACTTGTAAGTCGCAGGCTTTATGCCGGGGATGTACCGCCCTTGTCGCATTGATTTAGCAGGCATCACGGGCTGTCAATTTGACTTTCCTCTCCACTGTACTTCTTTTCATTGGGCAGCCTTGTCAAAGCAAGTAGCCAACAGCCGAGAAGGAAAGTCAATCCCTAAACGTGAGTACCAGAACATTGAGTAATTCGATGCATATGGTTCCTAAACGTCATGGTAGATGTTGACTGAGCAGCTGCTTATCCCCAAACCGGTGCTGTGAGGAGATTAAGCGCTGAAAAAGCCAAGCGGTTCTCATGTGCACTATGTGGTGGCTTCCACAAAGAAGGGTCGTTGATATTGAAACCACGAAAGGGGTTGCATCCTTATTGAACGGTCCGCCGCGAAAGACACCTCCCCCACCCGTTGCTCGACACCGCAGACTGTGGTTGCTTTGGCAATGCTTCTTAAGCCCTATGACCTCAGAATGGGAACCTGTACAAGGGGAACCTGTACAACCGACACATGGCTGTCGAGCTTACGGTTTAGGATTTACAGTTACAGTGTTTCAGGTTCAGGATTTCGCGAAGGGTTCATGTGCAGTCGTTCAGAAACAACTCGACGCACCCTTAAGGTGCCTGGCTCAGTAAGACCGGTTTAGTGGGTCTAAAGGCTTTTTTGTTGGTGGGTTTGGACTAAACCCTAAACCCTAAACCCCTAAACCCTAAACCGTTAGGCCTTGATTCTCTGGAGCACACACGACCCGCAAGCTCCGACTGCTGTGGGTTCGGAGGTGGACTGAACCCGAAACCGTTTACGGTTTAGTTTAGGGTTTAGGGGTTTAGGGGTTTAGGGTTTAGGGGTTTGTAGTTTTAGGCTTCGGGCTTAAGGCTTAAACCCTCGACATACTACCCCGAAACCCTAAACCCTAAACCTTGACGTACCTTGACTTATGGTTCACTTGGAGGTTCAGGGGTAGTTTTAAACTAGGGTTGTAAGTCCCCCAATATGGGTCATAAGTCTAGTTACCCTGCTTATAACTACCCATGAACCTCCAAGCAGAGCTTCATAAAATGTTCCGCCTCAAGCCTCTCCAAGCCTTGAGCCTCTTGCTTGAAACCCCGGGCATCATTGCTCCAAGCCCTCCGCCCGAAGTTTTCTTCCCTTCCCCAGCTCTGTATACAGATCCTAACACAAACCCGACATCTAAAGTCCGAATCTGTTTTGTTTTCAGACGTCTGAGGCCTTTGGCATGTCGTGGTGTCTTGCTTGCAAGCATCATCTGTGTGTGCTTAGAAAATTATGTGTGTGTATATATATATATATAGATACATACACATACACACACATGCATCCACATCTTCTGTGGCGCACGATCTGCGGTTCCATTAGCGTACAGGGTTTGCCGGGGTTGGGGTTCGTCAATTGCAGTCTGCACGTTGTTGGACTCAAGGCTTTGTGCTTGCTCGTTTTGGTTGCGCTGCTTTGAGAAGTTGGGCTGTGAGCAGCCGGAGCTGCTATTCTACTCAGGTTCTCCTCTCGAGTGACCTTCATCCCTATACCGTAAACCATGAACCCCTAACCCCTAAACTTCACCTGGACATCGAGTTTCAGGTGGGGGCCGGTGATGCTTCGGTACGAATATGAGGAGTCGAACTCCGCAGTTGACGACTTCTAGGGACTCGGGTTTTAGGGTTTAGGGTTGGGGGCTGGGGGTTTTAGTGTTTTAGGTCTATGGTATGGGGCTTTAGGGCTTATTTTTAGGGTTTAGGGTTTGGGGTTTGAGGTTTAATTCGAGGTTTAGGGTGTTAAGGTGTGTAGTTGTTCCGGGTGTGGGGTTTGCGATTCAGAGGTGTTTGTTCCGGGTTTTGCTCGCTTCTGCAAGGGATGTTGCTGATTCGGAAGTCTGGACTTGGACACAGCGAGACACCAAGCATCCGACATCTTCATCGAACCTCGAACCCTAAAACCCAAAACCCATACACCACTACAGCCCTGAACCCTAAACCCCGAACCACTTCAAAAAGGGGCGTTAATCATAAGTTTTGCTGTTATCTTATACTATGACTACACTAAGGAACCCCAACGTAGTATAGGTAATTATTTCGCCTCCTACATTAATCCTAAACCGTAAACCCTAAACCCTAATTCCTCGCCGCTTACATTAATCCTAAACCGCCCCCTACTTGGAGGTTCATGGCTAGTTACAAGCGGGGGTTATAAGTGGGAAAACTACAGTTATAATTCATATTAGGGGCTAGACCTTCGACAAGCTCCTGCTCGGCCTAGAAGTGATCATGGTTTCGGGCAGAAGCCAGATAGGAAATCCTACACTTGCAACAGTAAAACCTTTAACCCTAAACCTTAAAACCCTAAAGCCTAAAACCCTAAACCCCAGACCCTAAACCCTAAAACCCTAAACATTAAGCCCCAAAATCTTAATAAATTTGAGCCGTAAGCCTTCGATCCCCACGCAAAGCCCTAAATGCTAAACCCTAAATCCTAAACCCTAAACCCTAAATCCTAAACCCTAAACCTTAAATCCTAAACCCGAAACTCTAAATCCTAAACCCTACACCCCAAAACCTAAACCCTAAACCGAAAGGGTGGTCTTCTGGGCGGTCTGGCTCTTCCTGCTGCCCTTTGCATGGTATGCAGGGCAACTCCGCCGTACTATGGAACCCGAATAGAACCCTTCAAGGGGTCCTTCTTGCATCCCTATTACCCGTTAAAGGGGGTGAAGGATATCGTTTCAGGTAAGGCTTCGTGATAGGTCGTGAACTTGATGTTAGGGAGTAGTATTTGACTCTCGCAGGGTGGTTTCCTGCCGGCTTGTGGGAACAGGGCTTCAGGCTTCGGGTTGCTTGAGGGTTGTGGGTTTAGGGTTTAGGGTTTAGGGTTTGAAAGTTCAAAGAACTTGTGTCCCTCTGACGCTTTCAGGATCTTCGCGCCGGCAGCTTGCAGTGCGGATCAAAAGGGGCCTTGGAGGCCTGCCAGCCGGGTTTGTAGCTCTGCTTAGTCCGAGCCCTTGCCATAAGCTGGTCGGCCGTCGCTCCCGCGCCTACGAGCTAGACCTTTGATAGCTACAGCTGCTACCGCTCTCACGGTAGCGGAGCCCGCGAAGGGAACCGCGGGCTTGGTTATTCGATCCAGGGTGTGGCCCCGAGAAACGGGGATATCATGAGTGGAGCAGCTTCAGAAGCTGGCGCGACTACCACCTCGAGGACCAAGGATGGCATCCCAACATGGAGTGGGGAAGCAAGCTCATTTGTTTCCTACGAGGAGGCGGCTCTCTTATGGGAGCAGTCCTTGACCTGGGAGAAGAGATACACAGCAGGACCGCGATTGATGCAGGAACTCACAGGTGCTGCGAGACGGCTTGTGTCAGGCCAACCAGCGGGCTGGGTGGCATATCGCGGAGGGGTTCGGGTCCTTATGGATCATTTGAGACGAGCCCTAGGAAAACCCAGGGTGAACGAGGTGACGGACTTGCTGGCAACGTACTTCAAAGGTACAAAAAGGCGCAGTGGAGAGACGATGAATGAGTACATCACGAGGAAGACGGAGGCCTACATGAGGGCCAGTCAGGCCCTCCAGAGGGTTCAGCCTCACTATGAGGCTGGAGCGGCTTCGAGACCGACGGCGCCTACGGCATCTTCCGGATGGGCAAGCGAGCGGCGCAGCAGTGGCGACTGGAGCCGCCAGTGGACTCCAGGACCGGAGGCGGATGAACCGCCGCTCCGGGCCACTGAGGATGGCGAGGATGGCTCCGCGGAAGGCTCCACGAGGCCTACCGAGGTCGAGGAGGAGCCCCACGACCCTTGGAGGAGTTACTCGCAGACTCAGTGGAACCCATGGGGCAACTGGGGCTGGTCGTCTACGTGGTACGGCCAGGGCTACCAAGGGCGCTACGATTGGTCTTCGTGGACGGCGTCTACTACCTCCACCAGTGGCGGAGCTGAGGGCAACCGGACAAGTGAGCTGTTGCCTACATTCATCCAGGGGTGGTACCTCCTCATGGACGCCAACCTGGACCATGGAGAAAGGAACCTGGTGGTCACGGCCCTGAGTGGGAACTTCCACCCACAAAAGGTGGGGCAAGAGCTCAGGAATCAGTTTCCTGAGGGCGAAACTCGCCGACGTGACCAAGGACGCCGGTTCCAGAGCTACTTGGGCGAGATGGCCGAGGACTTCGACGACACGGAAGAGTTCTACGAGGAGGGGAACACCACGGAGGAGCTTGCGGCGGGAGGACTCAATGAGGAAGGGATCGCCCTTGTTGTGGATGCGGAGCAACAAGTGCAGGACGCCATGGCAGCAATGAACGATGCAAAGCGAACCCTTCGTGAAGCACGCTTCAAGCAGAAGCAGATCAAGCAGAACCGCCGCTACTACCAAGGCTTCGGGAAAGGCGGTCGTGGTGGAGCCTCAAGCTTCAATCGGGTTCGAGATGACTCGAACATTGAATGTCTGGGGTGCGGACAGAAGGGCCACCGGGTGGCAAACTGTCCCAACAAGGCCACAGCAACCGCAGCCTCCGCCGAGGCCTCGGGAGAACCTCAGCAAGCCCCCTTCGTGTGCTTCATGGACGCGGCGATCAACGACCAGGCCACCGTGGAGAAGGACCAGGGTTTTGTGGGCTACGCGGAGGAAGCCTATGCCACCGGGACAACCACGACGAAGGACCCGCAGCTCACCACTGCAGAGGCAGTCCGTCGTGGCATGTGCGTGATAGACGGTGGAGCCACACAGACCATCGGCAGTGTGACGGCGATCGAGGCTATCTTGGACCGCAACCGCTTCAAGCATGGTGAGTCGGGACTCTCCGGGGTGGATTCATCGAATCCACCCAGTTTTTCCTTTGGGAATAGTACAGAGAACCGATGCCTTAGCACTGCGAAGCTGAGGATTTCCGCGAATGGAGCTCCTGGAGAGCTCCGGATCCACGCGCTGGACTCGGGAAGCAGTCCAGTGCTTTTGAGCATAGAGACGCTCAGACGGTTAGGTGCCCTCATAGATTTTGAGCACGACCTGTTGGTGTTCAGGAACTTGGATGCTCAGCGTGTGATTAAGCTTGAAAGAGGTCTCACTGGACACCAACTGATGGATTTCCGGAAGACTGGCTTCGCAGAGCGTTGCCGGCTGAGCGGGCTGTCCCTTCCCTGACTGCCTATCTCAAGCCATAGGGACAGCTCCTTCCTGATTTTGACCCTGACGGAAAAGGGAAGGACTCAAAGTTTTTATCAGGGAAGGGTATCAATCCTGTTTCTGCTGATCAATCATGGGGTAGTGATTGTAATGAAGCGAGGGTTGATGGAGTTGAGAGTGATAGGATTTTAGATCTCTCACATGATTTGCCAGAGAGTGAGAAGCCGACACAGACATGTCCTCCAGCAGTCAAGTGCAGTGACGAGTGCTTAGTGGCAGATCGCGAACGTGACAACGTATGTGGCAGCAAACTTGGCTCAGCACCTAGCGCCCCAGCAGATTGTGTCGGTGACGGTGAACATGGACTCGTGGAACAAGCCCGAATTGGTGTTGTTCCTCAGGGGCTATGGCGAGGAACCTCCCCGCGCTTGGGGAAAGGTGGAACTTCGCCAACGGATCCAGGACCTCGTGAACAGCGGCGAGGTCGAACTCCCAACACCGGCGTCTCGCAACAAGACGCCGCTGCAGGTGGCCACCACGGCCTTGAACCAGGCGAGCAAGAAGAAGGGGGTCCTGATCAAGTATGCCGAGGAGAACTACGGGATCCGTGCCACAACGAACGACACAATCGGGACCTTGCAGCGCAAGGTCATGGACCAACTGCTGGGCTCCGTGACCCCAGTGGGACGAGAGCTCATGGGGTTTGGGAAGTTCTCGAGCCGAACATACCGCCAGGTACTCGGGGACGAGCCAAAGTACACCGAATGGGCCAAGCAGACGGCCCACGAAGGCCAAAGCTCGGTCTACCTACAGCGCTTCGTGAGATGGGTGGAGGACTATGCCGATTTCGAGGAGCCTGTCAAGGGCGAGGTTGCTGTGGACCACAAGAAGACGATCCTGCCGAAGGCGAAGAGCAAGACGCCACCAATGGCGACCAAAGGATATCCAACGGAAGTGGAGGGTGCCAACAGTGCGGGATCGACGATGGCTTCCGAGGAGACGGTCAAGAACCTGACGATGATCGTGGCGCAGTTGGCCCAAGAGGTCAAGTCGATGAAGGAGGAGAAGGGCGAGAAGCCACGCAAGATCGTGGCCAAGGATGCGGAAATGGCCACCAAGCAGGACTCCCGCTGAGTCTTCAGGCTTCCAGAGTTCTTGATCAAAGGGCCCAGAATCTGATTCCGGATGCATTTGAGGGTCTTGTGGGGTTCGAAAGACCGGAGCTTCTTGAAATCATGTGCGAGCCAGACAGCATTCTGTCCCAGACCTTCCAAGCAAGGACGGGACGCCCTGACAGCGCGTGTAGATGTTCGCTCTGGTGCGGACATGACCTATCAACCCCAGGGGGTCTAGCTACTGTGTTGGAGCAAGTTAGAACCTTGAAGCCTAAGCACGTTTGGTTGTCACCTCCTAGCGGCCCGTTTTCTCCCTTGCAGAGTATCAACCAAAAGACCCCCAGTCAAATCCAAGAACTCAAGGCCAAGAGGGCCCACGCCACCAAGATTTACGAAAGCACTGTGGAAATAACCCGAGTGTGTGTGCAACTGGGCATTCATGTGACTGTGGAGTTGTCCGAGAGATCCGAAGCTTGGAGGCTCCCAATCCTTCAGAAGTTACGGTTGCACATGAACCTTCACACCTGCGTGGTTAAGGGTTGTTCCGTGGGTCTTCGAGGTCGAGATGGTCAGTTGATGCAGAAGGGATGGCGGTTAGTGACTAGTCATGCGAGATTGGCGGATAAGCTTCACAGACCCTGTAGGTGCGTTCCGAACTACAGACACGCTAAGTGCGAGGGAAGCAGTTCGAGGGAATCTTCCAGGTATACTTCGGAATTCGGAAGGTTGGTTTATGAGGCTTTGAGCAAAGAGGCTGAGTGCGCTGGGATCCTTCAGGAATGTTCCGGTGAGTCGTGTTTGCCCGAGGGTTTCGGTTTGGGTTTGTGCTGTAGTTGCAAGAGTGACAGCGACCAACCGTGCAGTAGTTGCGTGGTGCAAACCCAACAGGACGAAGAAACAGGAGAAGCCCTGATGAGCCAAAGCCAACAAAACCACTTAGAACAACAAGCCCGAAGCCTGAGCAAACAACCTGGTGCCTCAGACCTCCCAAGCCTCCAGAGACTCCTTGAACAATATCCCCTTCGGAACACTGGTAGGTCCCGCCGCAACCAGAACAGCCCAAACGACTACATTCTCTTTGGAACCTACGCTTATGGTAGTCAGTATGGAGTGACCAAAAGGACCGAGGCCTTCCCGAACCTGTGTAGGTACATCAACCAAATCCTCCGAGAATGTATGCCCTCCGACATGCACTGGTCTTCTTTCGTCCTGAACCATGGTAGCTGCCTCCCGGTACACCGAGACATCAACAACGATGCTGCTTTCCCGAACGGAAGTGTGGGTTTCGGAGATTATACGGGAGGGGGTTTGTGGATAGAGGGACAACAGTCAGTGTGTGGAAGGAAGGGTCGCGAGACTGTGAGGGTCAATGCTCAAGGTGAGGAGGTTTCGGGTTGCGAGTTCGATATTCGGTTGAAACCAGTGCTGTTCGATCCTAAGTCGTGGCATGGAAGCTGTGCGTGGCAGGGTGATAGATGGGTCTTGACGGTCTTTGTGAGTCGAGGCTTGGACAAGCTTGAGGCGGGCAGGATTTCGGAGTTGAAGCAGTTGGGTTTTCCTGTTCCCAAACCCAAACCCCAAGAAGCTTACCCTGCGGAACACCAGAACCCAGATAGAAGGCCCATACCTCAAGATGAACGAATCAAGAAACAGCTCTATCTCCTGCATTGCGCGACGGGACACAGTCACCCTAGGCACATGATCCAGGCCCTGAAAAGACGGGGTGTGGATGAACGAGTGATTCGATTAGCAGAGGAATTCCAGTGCCCTGTGTGTCAAGAAAAGCGTAGACCTGCGGCCCGTAACTTGGCTACTTTGGAACCCTTGCCCCCAAAGCTTTCGACCATCTGCGCGGACATAGGGCATTTTACTCATCCCCACTCCCAAGAAAGCGTGCAATTTATGGTGGTGATTGATGAGGGTTCTAGATACAGGACGGCACGTGTGTTGAGCAGTGGGTCTAGACAAAGCCCAAACGCCGCGACGTGTATTGAGTATTTGCAGGAGGGATGGGTTCAGTACTTCGGTCATCCTAGGTGTTTGAGGTTGGATCCTGCTGGGGCCTTCAGAAGCCATGCGATTGAAGAGTGGTGTGACAAGCATCAGATTTTCTTGGACATAGTTCCGGGTGAGGCCCATTGGAAGATAGGCACGGTTGAGAATGCGATCAAGGGTCTTAAAGAAGTCATGCACAAGCTGTGTTTGTACGATACTGAGATATCTACGACTGAAGCCCTGTCGGAAGCCGTGGCCTCCTTCAACCATCGCGAACTGATCCGAGGCTATTCTCCGGCCCAACATGTGTTAGGGCAGGCTCCTGATGAGACTGGTCGTTTCGTAGCCTCCTGTGATGCCGTGCCACCGGGACTGTTGTGCGAAAGTGCCCAAGGCGAGTTTTCCCGCTCAGTGAAGTTGCGAGCAGAGGCTGAGAAGGCTTTGTGTGAGTGGAACGCGAATCAACGGCTACTGAGGGCCACTCACTCCAGACACAGACCCTGCTATGATTATCAGCCAGGTGAACTGGTGTTTTACTGGCGATGTCAAGATGCGACAAAAGGCCGCCGCCAACCAGGTGGTAAGCACGGCCGGTTCCTGGGACCGGCACGAGTCCTGGCAGTCGAGAGTCGTAAAGAGCCAGACGGCTCCCTGAGACCAGGGGGCGCGATCTGGTTAGTGAAGGGGAGAAGCCTCCTCAAGTGCAGTCCTGAACAACTGCGGCGAGCTTCCCAAAGAGAGGAGCTTGTGGAGTCGCTTTCGGACACCCACCAGCAGCAGACGCCATGGACGTTCCAAACAGTGGCCCAAGAGATAGGCGGGAATCGTTTTGAGGACATCAGTGCTCAACCTGACCTGGAAGAATGGCGCCGAGCACAACAGCCGGAGGAGGAAGTTCAACCAGTGCGACACCGCATACGCACTAAACGGGGACTACACCAACGAGAACCTGCCGAGGATGAGGAGATGGAACAGCCGCCTACGGAAGAAGCACAGGACCAGGGTCCGGCCTTGCGGGAGCGCTCCCGCAGCCGAGGACCTCGTGGAAGTCAAGAAGCGAGCTCAGTGTTCGAGCAACCAGCTGCCTGGTGGAGTGACGTGCCAAGCATGCGATGGCCCGCCCAAGAGGCCAGCTACTGGGCAGATGAAAAGTCGGCCGTCGAGATTGAGATTCCTCTTCCGGACAGCCACCGAGGACGGGAGAAAGCATGGCGCAATCTGGGTGCCTACTTCGTGGGAAGCATGAAAAGGAGAGCCGTGGAACTATCAGAGAAGAGAATGACAGCTCAAGAGTTGGAGGCATTCAAGGGCGCTAAGGCTACAGAGGTCAAGAATTTCGTGGCGGCAAAAGCATTCGAGTTGATACCGGATCACTTGAAGCCCAGCAAAAATCAGGCGATTGGGATGCGGTGGATCCTGACATGGAAGCTGAAGGAGGATGGCACGAGAAAACCAAAAGCTCGTGCTGTCTTATTAGGCTACCAAGATGGAAGCTATGAACATCGTGCTACCACATCTCCTGTCATGACTCGTCAGACGAGACAGTTGGTTTTACAGATGGCCGCATGGAAACGATGGAAGGTTCAGAAAGGAGACGTGACAGGGGCTTTCTTACAGAGCCGACAGTATCCTGACAACCTTTACTGTATTCCATGTCCAGAAATCTGCGAAGCCTTAGGTGTGGAAGCAGGGACCATCACAAAGGTCCAAAAGGCTTGTTACGGATTGGTGGACGCGCCACTGGAGTGGTACAGGTCTGTTGATTCATTTCTCAACGAGTTAGGGCTACAAAGATGTTGGTCAGATGCCTGTTGCTGGGTACTCCGAGAACAGGGAGTGCTCAAAGGCATCATCTGTGGGCATGTAGACGATTTTCTGTTTGCCGGGAAAACAGGGGATGCATCCTGGGAAAGGGTCATTCAGGCGATTAAGGAGAAGTTTAAATGGGGAGACTGGGAAGAGGGGAAGTTCACTCAGTGTGGAGTCGTAGTACAACAGACCAGCGAAGGGTTTGAGCTTTCCCAACCTACGTATCTTGAAAATCTCCATGAAATCTCCGTGAATGCCTCCCGTAGGAAGAACCGCCAAGACCCCACAACCGACAAGGAGAAAACGCAACTACGGGCGCTGCTAGGAGGAATCAGCTGGCACGCCCAGCAGGTGGCTCCCTACCTGGCTGCTGCTGTAAGTTTACTCCTAACCGAGGTTTCCAGAAGTACGGTGGAGACCATCATCCAGTCGAACATCCTCTTGAGCCACGCCAAAGCGAAGCAGAACTACCACATGAGGATCCATGCGTTCAAGCCCGAGGATGACATAGTCTTCATTGGATGGGTCGATGCTGCGAATGGCAACAGGTGCGATGGCGGCTCAACTCAGGGAATCTTCATCGGCGCCACTCCGAAGGAAATGCTCACTGGAAATGTCTGTGGAGTCAGCCCTGTCAGCTGGTCTTCACAGAAAATCGACAGGGCCTGCAGATCACCAGGAGCTGCAGAAGCACAGGCTGCAGTGAATGGGGAGGACACCTTGTTTGCAGTACGTCATCAATGGAGCGAGTTGATGTACGGGACGCCAGACCTCCAGGATCCGTCGGCTACAGTCTCAAGGACAAGAGGCTGTCTGGTGACAGACAGTCGCAATGTCTATGACAAGTTGGAGACGGAAGTGATGGTGGTCAAAGGGGCAGAGAAGAGGACGAGCATCGAGATGCTTTCCTTGAAAGAAGCTCAGTTACGGACTGGGCTACAGGTGCGATGGGTACACAGCGAAGCACAACTTGCCAACAGCTTGACGAAGCATGGAGGCCAGCGGGAATACGACCTCTACTACAAGATGCGTCACAGGTGGCGATTGGTGGAGGATGAATCAATGATGTCGGCGAAGCGTCGGAAGGACTGTGGCTTACAACCTCTTGAGCAGTCATGTGGGAAATCTAAAACTAAGAGCGTTTGTTTCGAACAAGATCAGCAGAAGCAGTCCCGAGAGTCAGAAGAACTCTCATCCGTGGTTTTCGGGGAATGGGGGGCATGAAAGTTCAAAGAACTTGTGTCCCTCTGACGCTTTCAGGATCTTCGCGCCGGCAGCTTGCGGTGCGGATCAAAAGGGGCCTTGGAGGCCTGCCAGCCGGGTTTGTAGCTCTGCTTAGTCCGAGCCCTTGCCATAAGCTGGTCGGCCGTCGCTCCCGCGCCTACGAGCTAGACCTTTGATAGCTACAGCTGCTACCGCTCTCAGGGTTTAGGGTTTTGGGTTTAGGGTTTTGGGTTTAGGGGTTTAGGGTTTAGGGTTTGGGGTTTAGGGTTTTGGGGTTTAGGGTTTAGGGTTTAGGGCCTAGGGTGTTGGACGAGACCCCGTAGCCCCACCTGCCATGAAGCCCGAAATTTCCAGGCACCAGTGGGCTTTGGACGAACTGTCACTTGGCTCAGATGCAAAGATGGAGATTCCGGGGTTGAAACATTGGAAAAAAGGGTTCAGGGGGTGCTACGCGGCTTTTCCATTTAACTCGGAGGTATGGTAAGTAGACTAATTACAATGGACTACAGTATACTGTAACATATGATGATATCCTACAACATGTGTTTGTAGACATCGCCAGGGTGAATCTCCATGGTTCAGTGTCAAAAGTGCCAGGACACAACCACAACTCAAACACTGATGCCCATCTGGAAAGCCATCTGTCAACCTGCAGTCTCTAATGCCAGTTCATGGGCAGCGAATCCTCGTATCAAAAGCAATAAATCATTAATCCCAAAGAGTATAAACGCCGTAAAAACTCAACACCTCTGGTGACACAATCACCTGGTAGGTTAAGAAAGAAGCACAACGCCCCTCCAAGCCTTGGCTCCCACAGTCTAACAAGGTTTTGCAGGAGTTGAAGCCCACAGTCCCCCCAAACGATGCAGACGGCAGGGTTGAGGGGTATTTTTGCTTTTCAAGCCAATTTGGGGTTCCATGTTGAGATGCTTGCTACATACATATGCGGTAGGTACCCGTAATAGAGGTCATGAGACACAGCCCCAAGGCCCAGAATTTTCAATGCACCTTTTAGCATCCAGGCTTCATTTCTGCAATGCACTGTGTGCTGTGTATGCTCGGAGAGATGATCCATCTTGCAAGCTCGCTCTGTTGAGGGTTAGCCGTACCCTTTCAACCCTGATTCCTTAAACCACCCACTCCATAACCTCGAACCCCAGGCTGTCGCCCCTGCCGTTTTACTTTCACAACGCCAACGTGGTCCTGATGTGTGCCGAGCTAGTATTTTCGCGATGGACTGTGATGCTTGTCCTTGTTGGCATGCTATTTTGCAAATCTGGCTTCTCGTTAAGTAAGAATTGCTTAACTTAAGTTCCCATAATAGGGATCTGTGGTAAATAGTACGGTTCCACATTATTCATATGGAAACAATATTATTTACCATTGTATTAGACTATAGTGACTGAACGCCTCACCAAGAACCCAGAAACTTTTAGTTTTTTCCATGGGTCGGAGCTTGAATGACCCCTTAAACAAAAGGTCATAAGAATTCGAGGGACGGATGAGCCAAAACTACAGGGCTTCCAGTCATCCCCAAAGGATCCTAGGTACCGTTATAGGGGATACTTTGCCAAATCATAAAAGCAACTCCGAATATAGGAGCCGTAAATTCTACTATGCAAGTATTTAGGACACTGGGGTCTAGGCATTTCAGATTGAACGATTCAGGGCGAAAGGTGACCTGGGATGTTCGTGGGAAACTTGTGTTAGGAAAAAAGGGGTTCGCTGCGCGGGTAGGAACCTGGTGAAGGATCTGCTTCTTGTGACGGTTATGGTTCTTGGCTTATGGTTTAGAGGGATAGGTTTCGGGACAAGTTAGCGGTTCAAGGGTCTAACTATAGTCTAGGATTGAAGATTGAAGATTCGGCACCTGGGATTGCCAAGTCGGGCTAGGCCCCTAAACCCCTTCACCCTAAACCCTAAACTGAACTCCTACAGAACCCTTGAAGGATCCTTTCAGGGCTCCTTTAAGGGGATCTCCTACGTTAGCGGAGGAACCTCGAGCATTGCATCTTCCCAGTGTACTTTGGCCTTGCATACTTGTACTGGAACTGGTGGCTGTATTCGAAGATCCGGGTGTGGATCTACTTCTTCCTCGACTACGACAGGCCGTGCTGTGCATCTGTTAGTAGCTAAATAGGTAAGCCGCAGATTTAGTCCGGCATACGGTCATAGTACACTGTTCTTTCATTAAGTGATCAAGTCGTCTTGCAAAGCAGTGTTCCACACGACAATATGGTACTCTATGGTATGGCATACCCTGAAAATCTTGTAAACATGATAACTACGAAGTGCAATGCCTAAAGCCTAAGCCCTGAACCCTACACTCTTCACCTTCCCTCAAGCAATGGCCGGCAACCCCAGATCTGCATCACTACTCAGAGGGTCATGGGACTTAGTAACTACGGCTATAAGTACCTGGGGTTATCTGGAACGATTAGTATTCTAATATCTTAGAGGACGTCTTACTCCTAAGTCCGATGATCCTCCAGGCAGCCTCTGATGTGTCCTCTTAAGTCAGTCAGCCAGCCATGATCCTAAACAGCATCCTGGCCGTCGAGATCCCCCCAGACATGATTGCACTTAAGATGACAGCTTTTCGACTTCCGAAAACAGGTTTTGGGCTTGGGGCTTTTAGGGTTTAGACTCTAGGGATGGCGCCCACCATTTGACCATTTGAGTGGCTGTCAAAATTAGGGCCCTTTTTTATATACCCTAAATATTAGGTGCCGTATTATATTAAGGATCCAAAAAGGGACTCTAATTCCGACAACCACCTATTTCTTTTCAGAGTCTTGGAGCTCAGTGTTTGGAGAGTCACGAGAGGTAGCTTCTTGCATGCCAGAGAAGCTCCCTCCACCTTGCCGTCGCAGGCCCTCTTCAGTGCCGGTGTGCTTGATACTCGTGTCCATTATCGTTGCTTCCTTCGACTTCGGTGCCTGGCTGGCCCATATCTTGAAGTGAGCAGAAAATGGGAGCTCCGCGGGGTTTAGGGTTTACCTGGACCCGAAAAAACCTACGTTCCTTAACATGATTTCTTTATGTCAGTCCTTAAAGAAGCTAGGTTATTTGGGGTTAAGGTAGGGTTTTGAGGTTTAGGTTTTAGGGTGGTGCGGTTGACGAGTATCTTGGCACCAGTATTCCTGCACAATCAGAGAGTTCTGGCCAAAACGCGTACTGTCGTGACTTAACAAATGGGAGTTTCCGAAATTAGGGGTACCTTATTTGGGTGTCCTTATAATAAGGATCCCACTATTTAGGGTACTATATTAGGATCCCCTGTTTTCGGAAACCCGCAAGTACTAACAGCTCCCACCTGCTCTCTCAGTGCCACCAGGGGCCTTACTCCTGCTCTCGCTGCGGCCACCACTTCCTCCTGCGAGTTCTACTCGAACGAATATTTCGGGGCCTTATTAACCTAAATAGGCGTCGGGCACAAGTACCTTCTACTCCCTTGTACCCCCCAATTAAGGTACTCATGGCCATACTTAGTAAGTCCCACACAATCCTCCAAGCAGAACAACCAGGATGTATTAGTATATGATGCGATAAGCAACATTCCGTCGGAGTTCTTCATATGTATATATATGTATATATATATATATATGTATATATATATATATATACATATGTATTTTTATTTGTGGTTTCTAACCCCGCCAAAAAAGCCGCGGTGTAATGATTCAGGCTTCTATACTCACCTCCTGGAGACTTGAAGAGGACCTTAAGACTATACCTATAGTCTCCATTGTAGTTCCTTTTTTCGTTAGCCAAGTTCATAGCTCAGGTTCCCAGCCATAAGACTGTTTTACCGACATAGGAACTAAAATTGAGACTAAAGCCCAGAGGGTCCATATACGCCACCAGTATGGAAGTAGACACCGAAAACCATAATGAGGATGGTCTCTTAGGACCTAATTCCATATGGTAGTGTATATGGACTCTCTTGGTAGGTAATGTAGGCCCCTTAGACCCTCTCGGATCCCGACACCCACCACCACATGCTCCTGAAATGATGAAGGAACCCCTCTTCGAAACAAGTTGAAGAAGACCCTGAACCTTGGAGGGGACACCCTAAACCAAAAACACCTCGCCCTCGATGCCGGGGAGGATCTGAAAGATCACATCGTCGACACCCTTCCTGACAGCAACGAGCTGAAATGGTGCCGCATTCATGGAGGCCACTCTGACAGGGAGTGTGAGGCTGTTGGGTTTTGGGGCCCGCCGGTTCCATGATTTGAATGGGTTTCTACAGCGGCACGTGCAAGCATTGTTTGAGGGTTTAGGATATAGGCAAGGGTAGATTTTTCGTAAGGGGTCCACAAGAGATTATGCCTTGGACTTTCGCTGTTTGTTTTTTCTCCTTGGTTTCGGTTCGGGCGGATTAGGGTTTTGGGGGTAGGGATTTAAGCTTTGATTCAGGGTTGGAGTTTTGGGCTTAGTGATCGGTTTACGTTCTTACTGTACTTCGGGCTTGGCTTCGTCACGTAGAGTCTGTGGCAAGCACGTTCTTTGACCTCACCCAGAGGGTCCATATACACTACCATTTAGGGATGGTCTTTTGAGACCTAATCCCATAATGGTAATGTATATGGACCCTCTTGGTTATAGTACGTCCAGTCATTGGTTTGGGTTACGTGCTTGGGTCGTTGAGTTCAGGTGTGCGGCTTCGGGTGTAGGATTTAGAGTTCGGTCCAGATTTTTACAGCGTCGGCTTCATACCTCTCTGTGTGTCTCCCTCCTTCGTCTGGCGTTGGAGGAGTTTGCTCTAGAAAGATTGGGGGTCGAATGCTTAGGGTTGAGGTCTTACTTGGAGGTTCATGGCTAGTTATAAGTAGGGTTCTGAGTAGGGTAACTATACTTATAACCCATATTACGCGACTTTTAACCCTACTTATAACTACCCCTGAACCTCCAAGTAGGGCCTATAATTCTCAAGCCCTGTGCGTTTGCGCTCCCACACTCCAAGCACTGGATTTTAAACTGCACAGAGGTGTCGAATTGCTGCAGTTTTAGGTCTACCGACTCCATTTTGGTCTCATGTCTCAGGCTTCGTAACCGGGAGTCCCTCATTCGAGTTATGTGTTCAGGGTCATCCCACCTGTTGAGATACTTGTAGCACAGTTTTTCAGGCTGTAAAACCAATGGCTAAACCGTACAGGGGGAAAAGACTTATCAGAGGCACTGCTGGAGAACAAGCCTTAAACCTCAAACCCAACAAAACTTAGTTCTATCTACCAGAGGAGGGACTTCAGGTGTGGGGAAACTCCTGTCTAAGAGCAAGCCGCTTACACGAGTCCAGAAACCTTAGATGTTAAATCCCTGCCTAAACCCTCAATCCAAAAAACAACTCCCACACGGTACGACCGCAAAGACTTCCCCAACTTTAAGTTTAATTTAAGTCCCTCCCCCAAGCACTACCAGAAACGTTTTTTTGTCTTTGGAGTTGATGTCCCTAAAGCCAGAGGGTCCATGAACCCGACAGTATATACGTTGGCCTCAGAGTAGTTCCTCTTTCATTGTAGGTACTTCGAGGCGAAAGTATACATTAGTTGGATACATGAACCCTTACCCAGAGGGTCCACCCTAAACCCTAAACCCTAAACCCTTTGTCCTTATTCATGGCTTTTGATACCTAAAAAAGGCCCTAAAGTCCCTAAACCCTAAACCCTCTATGGACTACGTTAAGGGTTTAGGGTTTAGGGTTTACCACAGCGCCAGGACGGCGTATCGCGCGGATGAACTTTGCCAAGCGTTTCATGGTCTGGGGCTGAGTGTAGCCATAGGCCCCATAGTATCTTAGTAGTTCCTTTTTGGGGGTTCATATTTGGGAGTAGTAGGGGGCCCTAATATAGTACCCTAAATCGTAGGATCCTGCATATTAGGACCCCAAAATCAGGTACCCTAATTTTCGGAAACTCCCATTTACAACTCTAGAAGTAATCCCAAATGGGGCCCATGGGTAGCGGCTTGTCGGAGGGTTTCGGGGCTAGGGTACAGGGCCAAGGATTACATCGAATAGACCCGCCTAAACCCATTGGGCTAAGCCGTCGATAAGCCCCGTGGCCCAAACCTTCAACCCCAAACCCTACATCCCAAACCCTGAGCCTAAACCCTCACTCCTATACCCTAAATCCCGAACCTCAAACAACCCTGTACCCTCAAACCCACGCCGTACTCCGTACAAACCCTAAGCCTTATTAGGGCCTCAACCCGCCACCCCAAAACCCAAACCGCAAGCCATGGCCCAAAGGGTCCATGTCCCCAATAGTACATACTTCGGCCAATGTAACTTTATAGGTCTATAGGGACTACTGTACATGGACCCTTAAACCCTAAACTAAACCCCATTATAGAACCCTCACAGGAACCCTTAAAGGAACCCTTCACGGATCCCTTAACGGATCCCTATTTGGGTACATGGACACTTAGGGAGTCGAAGAAATGGAGTTTCGTGATGAAGTTCTGGAGAGGAGAGTCGATAGATGAGGGTGTGTTCAGGGTTCTTTGGCATTTCGCCGGGGTTTATTCGAGGGTTGAGGGTGTAGGGCTGCATGAGAGTTAGAGTCTCAGATTTGTTGAAAGATTTTGAGGAGTTTAGGCGCTGGAGTTTTATGGTCTCAGGTTTGGTTTTCGTTTGTCCCAGTTATTTTACATTACGAAGTCTCAACAAGTTCCTCGGCCTAATTAATTGCAATTATTATTTTTCCATTTGCTGCCCTGATCAAAGAATCCTAGCCATAAGTTGGGTAATTGGAAACGCGGCATGGCAGGTTGGAGCTAGAATCCCGACTGCACCTGCAAACCTAAAAGCCTAAACGCCCAAGACCCAGCAACCTGAAGCCCTGAAACGTGTGCCTTCAACAAGCCCCAATCCCCTACTAGTCCACCCTAAACCCTAGACCCTAAACCTACACCCTAAACCCTAGCCCAAAAATGCTGACTCGAACCGGCGATGGCGCAGTGCAGGCGAAAAACGCCTTGAAACTGCGCGGGAGACCCGTTGAGTTTCCTCTGCAGAGCCCTAAGGGTTTAGGGAAGTACCTGAGGGTTTAGGGTCTGGGGTTTAGGGTTTAGGGTAGGGTTTAGGGTCTAAGTACCTATGTTATCACATAATTACTCTCCAAAACACTAACCTACATAACTACGACTATCCTAAACCCGAGTACCTAATAATTATTGGGTCCTTCGGACCCCTTGGGGAGTTTTTGAGTTTCTGTACCATCGGTTCTAGAAACGTGTTTTGAGGGGACGTGGTAAGGGTTCTATCAGGGCTCTACAAGTGTTTTTCTGAATGTTCAATCCGGGCTTTGCAGGGGTTTCCTTGAGGTGTCGGTGTCTCTAAGGGTTGTATACGGCATTTCTCAGGGTATCTAAAGCATTCTGAAACGACTCTATGCTTTCGTGGCAAGAGATTCTCACGATTGCTTTCCATTGCTTGGCATTTAGGGGTTCGGGGTCTATGAGTTCAAAAGTTTGGGCTTGAGATGAACGGTTTAAGATTTAGGGGTTGGGATTGAAGGTTGTGTCGTTGTGCTAGAACCGGCTCCATTCTTCGAGGGTATAAACCATATGAAGGAGCATGTCAACGGGACCTCGATGGGACCAGAGCCTCGAACAACAAAGCCTAGGCTCCGAGTAATGCCCGTGTAGTCCGGCAGTCTTCTTCTTGCCCCTCCAGGTCGGATCCAAGGTGTCGTTTTGGAGTATCTAAGGAACTGCAGGTTTAGGGGTTCAGGAATTTAGGGTTTAGGGTTTAGGGGTTTAGGAACTTAGGGTTTAGGGGTTTAGGAATTTAGGGTTTAGGGTGTAGGGGTTTAGGAATTTAAGGTCTAGGGGTTTAGGAATTTAGGGTTTAGGGGTTTAGGATTAGGGTTTGAAAGGTTAGGGTTTAGCGGTTTAGGAATTTAGGGTTGCAGTAGGGCCTATGGGGTTTTGGGATTTAGGGTTTAGGCTTTCGGGGT